AACAAATCAATGATTAACTAATTAATTACTAAATTATCACTTATTTACAATAAAGTTATTAGTAATTTAATATTACGTTATTAGTGATTTACTACTAAGTATCAATTTATTACTAAATTATTAATGATTTACTATTATATTTTTATATATTTATTATTATGTTATCATTGATTTACTATTTAATTTTTAATTATTTATCAATAAATTTATCACTAAATTATCTATGATTCACTGTCAAGTTATTATTGTTTTATATTAAATTATACATGATTCACTATTAAGTTATCATTGATTTATTACTAAGTTATCAATAATTAACTACTAATTTATCACTTATTTTTTATTAAGTTATTTTTTATTTAATATTATACTGTTATGCATTTAGAATTATATTATAATTGATTTATTATTAAAGTATTCTACATTTATTATTGTATTATTATTGCTTCACTAAAAAGTTATTAACTATTAACTACTAAATTATCATTCATTTATTATTAAGTTATTACTAATTTACTACAAGTTATTTATGATTATTACTAAGTTATATTGATTACTTTTAAATTTTCAATGATTAATTACTAAAGTATTAATTATCCACTACTATGTTATCACTGATTTATATATATTCAAAATGAAAATAATCGTAATGTATGTTAGAAGATGTAATTCTTAATGTAAAGAAAGAAATAAGAAAATATTCTAGTGTAAATGACTTGAAAAATATGAGTAAATGCTTTTAATTTATTATTAGTAGTTTAACACGTAATAATAAATTAAAATCATAATTTTTTATACTAATTCAAGTATTAAAACTAAATTAAATAAATATATACAATATTCATTAAGTCAACATTTCTAAGATGTTCTTTAAATTTTTTAATTCATGATAAAATAGTACATATTAAGATAAACTTTATTAATGATTTGATTGAATTATTAGTATATATATTTTCATACTTGTTAGTGAAGTATAATTGTATAAAAAATATTAACAATTTTGAAGTATTCTGTCACCAATAGAAGTAATAAATTTTGCCTTATATTTCTATCACCAATTGTATATACAAGCTACAATTTTAAAAAATATTAAATTCACAATAATTACCTTTGCATTTTGCATTAAAATTTTTTTCTATTAAACAAAAAGATGATATATTTTTAATTATTACTTTATTATTGTTATCATCATTCCAAATGACTTTTTGATATTTTGATACCAATCAACTTCTTTATTTGAAAAGAATAAAAAATATTGTAAAGGGTCATAACAACTCAAACAATGTTTAACTTTATGTTATCATCCTTAATAAGTATGAACTATGATATTTTTTTCAAATGAAATGTTTGAATTGTTTTCCTTAACCCATATAACAACAACTTTATCAACAAATAAACGATCATAAACTCGTTGATCTAGATTAATATTTTTGCAATATAAATTTCAAATCTTTAAAAGAAGATTTATCTTTTAATCTCTGTAGGACTTGGATAAGGATTTTCTTCTTTAGTTATTACTAGTATCTTTATATTTTTGCACTTAAATTTTCATGGTGTTGTGTTTTTATTCTATTTTGAAATTTTATATCGATATCATAAAAATATAGCTAAAATAACATATATTAATTAACTAAAACTTAAAACAATCCAAAACTCAAATTGAGTATAAATAAAATTTTTATTGATTTTAAATTTTAATTTAATTAAAAACAATATAACACACATAATTATAAAAATGAAATGACTTGACTCGATTTCAATTGATTTTAAAAGTCAATAACTTAGTAGTTATTTAAAACTCAAAATAATTGAACATAACTAAAATCTGAATCGAAATAGTAACCTAACAAAAATCTAATATTTCTTATTCATCTTACCTAATAATTTAAAAATTCCTTATTTAGATTTTTTTTTCATAATTTTTTAATGTCTTATTTTTTTATTTTTGTGGTTGAATTAGTTAATTAATTTTAAAAATATTTCTAAAATAAAATTACAATTATAAGTAATTGAGTATATGTTTTTTATTTGGATTTAAGGCATTTGAAGATAACTTCTTAAATAAAGAGAAACATGCACCAATTATTGAGTTAAATTTGTTCAGTTGCACAAGTGAATAATTAAGTATACTATAAATAGAACTAAATGATAAAACTTAACTCAACCTAATTGGTTGCTGATCCTAAGTTTAAAATCTAACTCGAAATTATAAAAATTCAAAATTTAAAATGATTTAAAATACTAAATATATAACTAAATAAAGATTTATCAAATGAATTTTGCTGATGAATGCCTTTAAATCATTTTTAAGTTTAGTTAAATTATAATTTACAATAATATTTTCATATTAAATGTAATAGTGATAATTAATTCAATAAATTTTAATTCTTTTGAACAAATGTTACCTAATATGACAACTTTAAAAATTTTGATATAACAATGAGTATTTTTAAACTAACATAAAGGAGAAAATGAAAGAGTATACAATATTTTTTTTCCAAATAAAAGAGTTTTATATTAATCCTAAAGGAATTTGAAACCAATATATTTGTATATTTGTCATTGAATATCATATAATACTAACCTTTTTTATTATATGAAAAGATGAAGTTAAGCATAACCAATCAATCTTTAGTCTCATTTTTTACTTAGGATAACCTTCTTTTATCATATGAACGTAATTGTACGTTCCATCAATTGAAAACTTAGATTTTCTTTTATTTAAAAAATTTTATTATACATAAATTTTTATTATATAAAAATATTAAAATACATAATTTTAAAAAATAAAATAAAATAATTCTTAATGTTGGTACTTATTATGTTTTATTAAGAAAATTTCAATTTTAAAAATAACAAACTTGTTATGTAATACCTATACAATTTATAATGGTTTCATTTTCAGCATTAATAAATAAATTTTCATGAATACATGTAATTTTGGTATAAAAACATTCAAAAGATAGTTTTAAAGAATTTTATCGCACTTTAAAAGAATTCATAAAAAATAATTAATTTTACTTGATAATTTTTTGCTTAAAATAAATAACGTTAGGTCTTTCAACTGCTTGAATGATTAAGAAAAACGGCATTTGAATATAATTTAGAAAGATTAAATAATCTTAAGATATAAATTATCATATATAAGCATATTAAGTTAAAAGTTTAGAGAAAATTAAATTAACTATTGTTTCAATTAAGGTGAACAATTCTTATGATAATTTAATGAAACCTAATTTTAAGCTACAGATAGCTTATTATCTCTTGAATTATCTAATTTTATGGGTGAAAAGTTCAATTAAAGTTTTCAATGAATCACGTAGTACTAATTATTGGCCAAAAGGGTGTAATTGATTTGCATTTGATTTAATATTAATTTTTATTCAGGAGAATAACAATTATAAAATTTTAAAGAAAAAAATACAAAAAAAAATAATTATGAAAGTCATACTATAGTATAAGAATGATATATTAAAAATTATTTCGAGGACTAAAAAGATTTAATTATATTATTAATGATCAAATAATTAACTCATAAAACATATAAATAATAAAATTATTATCATACATATATATAGTTAATATATTAAAATAAAAAATTGAAAGGCAAAAAAAAAAAAAAAACAAATATGCTTATATGACTTAATTATGATTATTTTTCATGAATTTATTTATCAATATAAACTGCATATAAAATTATTTTTACAACAACTAAGAAAATAAATTTTATATAATTGTTTTATTCCTATGCACGTTAAGTTTTTATGTTATTTTATTTTTATTTTCATTTGATGTGAAAAATTATTTTATTTATGAAAAAAAGTTTAACAATAAAAGTAAAATCATTTAAATTAAAATTTATAAAAAAATTATTAATAGTATTTTAATCAATTACTTTTAATATTTTCGAAATTCAAGTTTTATTAAGAGTTTAATCAGTAACTTTAAGTATTTTTTTAGTTTAATTATAAAAAAATCTAATAATGAAAAATTCATTTAAATTAAATTTATAAAAAATTACTAAAAATATTTTGGTCAATCACTATTAACATTTAAAATTAAAATTTTAAAATTTTAAGTAATTTAATTTCTCATAAACTTTATTTTTAATTCTAGTTGATTTAAACTAAATTTAAATAAATTAATAAAAATTATATATGTAAAGATGATTATGTTAATTTAAAAATTTATAACGAGATTTAAGTCGATAACTATTAATAATTTTGAAGTTTACATTTTTATATATAATAAAATAAAATAAAATAAAAAATGATATCTATAATATATATTTATATATTTGTTGAGTTTACACATACAATCAATCATCTAGCTATTTGGATTATATTGCATCCATGCATTGCTATCCATCTTTATTTTTTTTTTTAGTACTTGGGACCCGGGCTCTCTGTCTTCACTGAAAACTTTAAACACACAACTACTTACATTTTCTTCTCTACTCATTTCCACTATTAAATAGGTGCTTGGGTGGGCTTAACCCATTTCTATCGGATTTCTAACTCTGTCCATCACATCAGAACATCCTATACATAGATTTCAAGGAATTCACATCAGAACATCCTATACATATATTTCAAGGAATTTAAATAATGTATAATGCATAAAATTACAGATAAGATTATTGTCACTTTATAACATATTTTATTTATATATAAATTACAAAAAAATTAATTATATGCTTGAAATAAAATGACTCATCTTCTTAAAGTAAAAAAAAAATTATTTATAATTTATGAGATTAAACTTACATATTTTATTATATTTTTAAAAATTATACTAATAATTTAAATTATATAAACTTAAAAAAATAATTTCAATCAATAAATAAAATTATATAAACTTAAAATAAAATAATTTTATTTAATTAATTTTTATTTAAAATATTATTTTATTCTATTTTATTGTAATCTTATCCACCAACTAATCCCCACGAGTTTTAGAATGTCAAAGAAACCACGGGTGCAATCCATAGCTACAAGTTATTAAATCCAAAGATCATTGCAGCTTTTGACAGCTGCGTTGAAATGTTATCTCATCATTCTGTTCTGTTCATGTCACTCAGCTGTAATTACAAATGAGTTTTTCTGTTTTAGCTAGTTAACATGAACATTTAAAAACCTTGGCCACTATACCACCAGCTGGAAATTAAACAAATTAAGAAATGAAAAATGAAAAATTGTGACAATTTAAGCCTCGTAAACTTTGCATTCCTCGTCAGCTGGGTTTGTCTTACAGAAATCCTCCAAGGGGTCACCACTTCCCGCTGCAGGCATGCCAGGCCACTTACTTGCCACCAAGTTTGCCAAATCAACAACCCTTTGGCTGCAGATCACAAATAAAGAATCTCGTAGTCACAGCTATTTAGGTACAAAAGGAAAAAAGCTTGACCAATAACCATCATTTTCAATTACTTAGATTGCTTGTTTTAAGCTTACCTGTATCCCCATTCATTGTCATACCAGGCCACCACCTTGACCATGTCATCTCCCATGACCATGGTCAATGATGAGTCAATGGTGGAAGAAACATCAGAGCACCTAAAGTCCACTGAGACAAGAGGAACATCACACACGTCCAATACGCCCTTCAATGGCCCCTCAACTGCCTTTCTGAAGGCAGCGTTCACATCCTCAGCGCTAATACCCTTCTTCTCAACATTCACAACAAGGTCAACAACTGATACATTAGGTGTTGGCACACGAAGTGCAATGCCATTGAGCTTGCCCTTTAGCTGAGGAAGCACAAGAGAGACAGCCTTGGCAGCACCCGTGCTTGTTGGTACAATGTTCAATGCTGCGGCCCTGGCTCTTCTCAAGTCACGGTGTGAAGCATCCAAGAGCCTCTGGACAATCACAAGCCATAATTTTAGTTTTCTTATTTTCTGAATCAATTAATTTGACGTTTAATCTATCATATAAAAACCTAATTGTTGAGAATGTGCAACTTCTGAGTTCATCAGTAGAGTGTTTGTTAACTTGTGTGATTACCTGGTCACCGGTGTAAGAATGGGTGGTTGTCATTGTACCCTTGACAATGCCTGCAAATTCGTTTTGGTATCAAAGAAAATAAGAAAATCTTGAACTGTGAGCGCAGGCAATTAACCTAAACAACTAAAACAAATTCGATCCCCAAATGTTTAAGCTGTGAAATGGTATATGAATATGAATAATGCTTACCAAATTCTTCATCCATTACTTTCACGAAAGGAGCCAAGCAATTTGTGGTGCATGAGGCATTGCTGCAAGTACAAAACAGCAATCAAATCTAATCCACTAGATCAACAAAGAAATGGCAAATGATTATCCAGACTGCTTTATTAGCAGACAACACTTTATTCAGAACTGACCTTATGATGTTTGAGACCTCGTGGTCATAATCCCCTTCATTGACCCCAACAACATAAGTTGGAATGTCTGCACCTTTAGCCGGAGCGGTTATGATAACTTTTTTCGCACCAGCTTGTATGTGCTTTCCAGCTCCAGGGCCATCTACAAAGACTCCTGTTCCCTGTCAAAAGCATGTCAAATTATTCAATTGTCTTTAATACTCTTAGAAAAGTGGTACACAGGAAAGCTATAAATTGTTTGGTATATCCATGCTTTGAAATTCTTTATGGTCACGATACCAATCTTTCCCTGGAGGCCAAAGCCAAAACCAACCTACCTCGATAACAATGTCAATGCCAAGTTCCGCCCAAGGAAGCTTGAGAGGGTCCCTGTTAGAGACTACCTTGATGGGCCTACCGTCCACACTGATAGTTTCATTATCAACTATTTTCACCTCAGCTTTGAAAGTTCCCAGCATTGAATCATATTTCAGCAAGTGTGAAGCCTGTTTTTGTATTTTATATATATCCTGGTTAGTAAATGAAACTAACCAAAACTCATAGGTTGACCCTTAAAAAACATGGCAAGTTTCAGTAACTTACATTCTTTACACCACCACTGTCATTAACAACAACTACGTCTAGCGGTGAGTTCTCCCTGCCATGCCAGCATCGGAGGAAGTTCCTCCCTATGCGTCCGAATCCATTGATTGCAACCTTCAGTTTGGCAACTATTTCCCCCCTAAGAGGAGTTGATCCTACAGTCTAAATTTCAAAACAGTTCAAGTTCAGTACCATATAGTCATTAGGAAATGATGAGCTTTGCAAAAAAACTATATATATGAGAGAGAGAGAGAGAGAGAGAGAGAGAGAGAGAGATCATTTTAGTTTTTTCTGTTGGTTATCTAATGCTGAACTACATAAACCTAGCTTATTGCTGAAAGTGGGTAAAACTCTTTCCATTTTATGTGGCCTATTATGAAGCCCAGGAAACCTGATGATTTGGAGAAAGAATTAACTTGGCAGATTACTTGGTGAAGCATCAGTGCGTAACAACTTCAAACTTGGCCATATCAAACTTTAAGCACAGTAAGACCACCAAGAGCTGGCCTATGGACCCATAAATCCATAATTTTTGCTCCGGAACGTTTAATGTTACTCAATGAAACATTCATTTGCTGAACTACATAACCAAGCTTATTGCTGAAAGTGGGTAAAACTTTTTCCATTTTATGTGGCCTATTCTGAAGCCCAGGAAACCTGATGATTTGGAGAAAGAATTAACTTGGCAGATTACTTGGTGAAGCATCAGTACGTAACAACTTCAAACTTGGCCATATCAAAGTTTAAGCACAGTAAGACTACCAAGAGCTAGCCTATGGACCCATAAATCCATAATTTTTGCTCCAGAACGTTTAACGTTATTCAATGAAACATTCATTTGCTGAATTGCTGAAAGTGGGTAAAACTTTTTCCATTTTATGTGGCCTATTCTGAAGCCCAGGAAATTGGTGAAGCATCAGTACGTAACAACTTCAAACTTGGCCATATCAAAGTTTAAGCACCGTAAGACTACCAAGAGCTGGCCTATGGACCCATAAATCCATAATTTTTGATCCATAACGTTTAATGTTATTCAATGAAACATTGGTTTGCTGACGAAAAAGTAAAACTACAAGCGATCTTATCTCTACAGATGAATTTATATATTTACAACTACCAAAAAACTCAAAAAAGAAATGGTGAACAGTGACTGAACCTTAGGAGCAAGTTGGGTAGCCACCACATCGAAAAAGGATGCTTCTCTAACATTCTTGGCAAAGGTCACGAATGAGCTGGATCGAAGCCCAGAGAATTCAGCAACTTCCAGTCTCTGCACAACAAAGCTGAAATGAATATCCCAGAAGCAAAAGAGCAACAAAACTACATGCCAACACCTGAAGAAAGAGAGGGACCTTGGAGGAGCATTGAGTGGGGAAAGAGTGAGTGCTCTTAGATGGAAGCCTGGTGCTGGCAGGAATTCTTGAAGGAGCTAGAGCTGCGTGAGTGGCCATGGCTATTGGCTGCAAGTAAAATCGAAAGATCAACTTCCTCTGGATTATTTGTACAGCTGAAATTGGTGTTTCAGTTAATATATTTAGCATTATTCTTAAAATACATATTAGCATACAAATTATGGTTGAGAGTGAGTTAAAGAAATGTGTGGTGAATATGGTGTACGCAGAAATATGTGATAAGATTGTGTCCGAGAACTCATCTCATGATTTGAGCCACAGCTCCTTCATCCGTTCTTATTTTTCCTAAAGTACCCTTGCACTGTATTCAGAATGCTTAAGTATAATATTAAAATCACCACAAACAAATTGTGGGAAATAAAAAATCTACTTCATCTACGTATCGGACGTAGTCACTGTGTTCTGAACGTAACTTGTTGCTTTTAAATGGTCAAGAGAGAAAGGCCGGCCTCAGGCTCAATGGGACCAGTACACCAGATTTTTACAAGCAAATTTTCTGGCTACGAGGAGTTCATTTTGGATGGTGGTGAAGGTTCAGAGGAAATTAAATATCTATGTCATTTCACGTTTCTAGGATATAGTCAAATATGTTGAGGCTAATAATAAGACGAATGAAACGCAGCATCCAACTTCTTACCTTGCAGAACTAGGCAACCCCATTCCTTTATGATACACATGAGAAAGAGGAACATTCTATTTCCAAACAAAAGAGATTGGTCTCAAATGATAGGGGTGAAGAGCCAGCGGCATTGTACTAAGATGGAACAGGGCAAATTCATTCATTTAGTCACTTCATGAGTGAATTTTACGTCAAAATTTTCCTCTGCCTCAAATGTCCATTTCAGTGTACCCAATGCATAATTTCTCCCCAACACCAAACGATGCATCAATTACAGGAGATATTCATAAAGAAGATATTTATTTGAAGTAAGATTGTTCCAAGTAGCAAATTAAGTTTTAGGAAACCAATTTCTAAAACTAGGAAGCACCTCAAATGTTACTCTTTCTTGACCATCTTTACCTTCATGTATGGCAAAATTGCCAGCATTCATGTATATGGGCAACAACAACCACATATTCAAAAGAACAAGTTACACTGTTTGCCGTGAAAACAAGAAAATTATAATAAATATTCACCTATTATTTCTTAACATGGATAACAAGACCAGTTAAACCACAATGTGAATCGCAAGGCAATTCATATGGCAGCTTCAATTTCATCAGTGTTCATAGCAACTCCATTTGGGGCATCCTCAGATCGAAGCTGAGCAGAAACATCATCAATGGCAGAGTTCAACTGAGCAATCTTCTCAGTCAGTATCTTCCGTGTTTTCTGTGGAACAAATGCCATTTATTCACCTATATACTTTAAAGTACACGTGTTTATTACATAGATGCTTTAACTTCAAAGCACACAATATTCAGGCCATTTCATATTCCTTAAGGGGCAATAATTCTCAACAAACTTCGTGCTCACCTCCAAAGCTTTTTCCTCATCATATATGAATTTAGGTAGCCTCTTCATAAGATCCTTCCTATCGACTCCCGCTAGTGCCTTGCTGATCTATAGAGGGCAAACAGGAGAAGAATTTCACTCACCCAAATTGACCATCATATAAGTCATGCAGAAGAATAATAAAGAAATACATATAGCCATACAAATAATAGTTCCCACGTTTCTGGACTGTAGGTTTTAATCATCCAAAAGGGAAAAATCAGGAAAGATATATTTCTGGAACAATGGATGTAAAGTGTAACCAGTAACTCATTGATAAATATATGGGGGGCCTTTTTAGTTGATCAAATAACAAATATACATAATGGTGAAAGGAGATATTTAGTACAATTTTGCATCCATTTGCAAATCCAACATCACCTGAGGAGCAAATACACATCCAAGTGCACCAACCAGTAGTCCTCCCAAAACAAAACTTCCAACAAAGATGCTTGCACTGCTTAGCCTTTCACCATCACTGAAAGAACACAAAAGGCAGAGTGCTTCCATTATGCCTTAGGTAATATTAAATGTTAATGTCCCCTACAGAAGATCCAAAAACAACTCAAAAGAGGGAACTGGAATACACACACATACACAAAAAACTTAAGCATTTAGTTGACAATGCTTTTCTCAGTAGCTCCCAGATACACAAGTGATATAATGCATTCTTACGCTCCAAATTCTGTCAAAAATGATACCTGTACAAAGCTTGAACCATCAGTGGCCTGCTAGATGTAGAAAGCTGGAGTTTCCCTAAACGATTAGAATTGAATGACAAGTTGGTGGGGCTGGCACTCCCAAAGCTTTGATCTGCTGGCTTTAGATGAGAGCCTAGCAAAACAAATTTGGCAGAGAAGGTAATGAACAATCTTTCAAAACTTCTAAAACCAAAAAGATGGTTCACTTGCAAATGTACAAAACACGGCCTTGGCGTAGACATGTAATAGAAAATGGAATTAAAGCAAATCCTATTGGCATCTCCCTTTCGTCTTTAGCTGACAGCACTTGCAGTCAATTGTTTCCCTCAGGTTTAATGACATGCCAAACTATATATATATATATATATATATATTTTGGGGACATAGATGCTAATTAGAAATATAAGAAATTGAATCACAAACAACTTTTATTGATATAGGTGGCAATCTAAAGTTGCCCTCATTGAAGAGGTTTTGAGAACAAAAGCTACTCTGATAAAGTAAAATGGACAATCACAATATGATTTAAGAAAAAAAATTGCGTAGGTTTGGTGAAACAATCTGAAAGAAAAAGATTAACGAATACAACTTATTGCAGGCCCTGATTAACCTTATTATTAACAAAATCTCAAGCTTTCACAGACAAGCAAGACCATCATTACTCGAGGCATTTCAACCGCAAAAGAATCTGCAGCACTATATTGCAATTAGCCAATTACTTTAGAACGGACAGCCTTGGAGGACGCCGCAATTATCCCATGACCCATCGACAGTTTCAATATTGACAAATGAATCAAAGTCCACGGAAACAGAGAATATGGGTTGTATTTCTTTTTTTTTTTTTTTAAACTCCATTAATACCCTTCTCACAGAATAAAAAATGAAAAAAAAGAGTAGAGTTTAGGGCAGACAACATAAAGGCCAGTGTAGGTACATGAAATAGTATTAAATTCGCCAAGTCAATTGCTGCTAAAAGATTTTAGCTACTGCAATAAATCCCTTGGCTTGAGCAAGAAAAAGAGGAGATTATGATGCATTGGAAGTTGAATCGTATTCCATAACAAAAAAAATGTAAAATAGCGAGAGATGAAGAAGGTTATTACCAGAAGACAGGTGGAGTGGAAGATTTGTGGGTAAAACCAAAGAATTAGAAAGGATAGTCATTCTGTGAAAGTGGAAAATACAAATAAAAGTGAGAGAAATGCAAGAAAAAGAAACAAGGCAGGCAGTTGAGAGTTGAGTTTGACAAACATAAATTAAACAGGGAAACAAACAAGTAAGCTAGTTAAGAGTTCGATGAGATCTATGCTAGACAACGAAAATTTATTCATGCTTTCCATGCCCTTCATTTATGCCTCCTCCCCTTGTTGGCCCTGGCCCTAACATTCCCGGCCCAATTTATTCTGACTACCATCTTTCTTTTTCCATACAATATATATATATATATATATATATATATATATATATACATACCTAATTCTTTCTTTCCTCCTTTCTTTTTTTTTTTTTTTTTTTATATTTAAAAAAGGCCATTATATGTGAATTCTATGCCGAGAAAAACTAGATTAAATTTGTCAATTTTATTTTATTAAAATTGATTAAATAAAATTTATATATTAAAAGCCTTGTTACATATATAAATTAAGAATGTAAAATTTATAAATTTTTTAATAAATTTTTGTGTATTTTAAATAATTAATTTTATTAAAAATATTGATAAATTTTTTATAATTGAATAATTACTTATAAAATTTGAATTAAAAAATTATTTTAAATAATTTTTATAAATTATTAATTTTTATTAATTTAAATTAAAATTTTTATTAAATTATTTTTAATAAAAAAATTTACAAATTTCATTTAAGTCTAATATTTTTTTAAAGCTTAAAAAATATACTGTATGCTTTATTATTGAAAAAAAATTATAAAAATATTAATAAGTGGTTGGTTCAATTGGTTAAAGTATTTTATTTTTTTATGAAGAAATCTTATGTTTGAGTTTTACCTTTAATAATTTATTAGGAATATCACGAATATATAGTTTACAATCACTTATTTTAAATTATAAAACATATTATTTTGACATAAAAGACTGATCAATGTATCTAACTTGAATTTTTTGTAAAAGAAAAAAAATTTGCAGAGTTTCCCAAGAAAAACATATAGCATTAAAATCTATTTTGCAAGCTGCAAAGAGTGAATTTTGACTTAAACCTCAGATATTTGTGGGTATTGAGAAGCAAAAGCTTCCTAGTCCTAAAGAGTGTTCTGTAAATGTATGTATGCTTCCAGTTTCCCAGAGGTCTAGTTGAAATACATGTTAGAAAAATGGGGTCCAGTCTCATGTAAGTGGTTTTGGACCAAGTAAAAGCCATGAGCCTTGATCTTTTATTTTACACAGAGCCCTAGCTACTTAATAAAAAAGAGGTGGGGTTGTTTTAGGTGTGTGTCGAAAACCAAGCAGAAAAAGAAGAAAAGCCAAGAAAATCAGAGAGAAAAAAAAGAGAAGGGAGAGTTGATTAAACGGAAGTCGATCCGTGGTCCGATTGAGTTGAAACCTTGTCAGGAGGTTTATGATTCAGAGTTATACATTCTGAACGGTGAAGATCAGGTTTGAAGCTCTCTAGGAACAAATCTAGGGTGTATTTGTTGAGTCACTTATTTGATGATATTTCTCCAATTGTTTCTCTAGTTGTTGATTATCTCTAGTTGTTGATTAACTCTAGTTTTAGCTAGAGAAAAACTTTGTATAACTATTTTTTTATAGTGAAAATTTTTCTGGTGGCCCGTGGTTTTTCCCTCTACACTGGAGGGTTTTCCACGTAAATCTTGGTGTGCTTTATTTTTCCTGCGTATTTTATTATTGATTGTTGTCTACTGCTTCTGTATTGTTGTGATTATTGCTTCAGGCATAACAAGTGGTATAAGAGCGAGGATTATTTTGAGACATCGATACAGAAGTAACCCAGGATAGAAGTAAATTTTGTTTGAGATCATGGAGGGTGATATAGGTTTCATGATAAAATTGACAGCATCAAATTATTCAATTTGGAAAAGCCTATGATGGAGGATCATCTATCTGTTAAAGATTTGTATGAGCCAGTATTGGGTTGATTCGCTAAACCAGCAGATATGAAAGATGAAAGCTGAAAAGAAGTAGGTAGAAAGATGTTGGCTACAATCAGAAAATGGGTTGATATCAAGCGTGTTCCATCATGTAGCGGCAGGAGTCAGATGCTCACATTGTTTGAAAAATTGGCAGCATTGTATGAGAAGAAAAACATGGTATGCATAAAGTTATGCTTGTTAAAAAAGATTGCAACTTATAAGTCTAAACATAGATCCAAGTCTAGAGGTAAAGTGAAGTGTTTTATTGTGGTAAGGCGGGTCATATAAAATGAAACTGTAGAATCTTAAAGCAAGAGCGAAAAGATGAGAAATGTAAGAGTTCAGATGATGGCAATGTTGCAGCAGTGAATTCAGATTGTGATTCAGTTACTTTGATTTGTACATATGGTGATTGTAATCATATTAGTGATCCCGGTATTGAGTGGATAGTTGACACAGGAGTGGCATATCATTATGTTCCTAAGAGAGAGTTATTTATAACTTACAAAACAAAAGACTTTGGTTGTACCAAGATGGGAAACAAGAGTGTGTTACAGATTGTTGGGATTGGTGATATTATTATACAAACTAGTACAGGTTGTATGTTGACTTTGAGGGATGTCAGACACATTCCAGATATGAGAATAAACTTGCTTGTTATTAATGTCCTTGATAAGAAGGGATATGAAAACTGACAAAAGAATGGACAGTGGAAGCTTCTCAAAGGATCTATGGTAGTTGCAAAGAGAAAACTATGCTGCACAATGTATAAGACATGGATGCAATTAAACGGTAACCAGGTAAATACCGTTAAAAATGATGCTTCAGCAAACTTGTGGCACAGGAGGCTGGCACACATGAGTGAAAAAGGGTTACAAGTTTTGGCAAGACAGTCTCTCATTCCCTTGACCAAATGTATGTCTCTCTATTCATGTGATTATTGTTTGTTTGGTAAGCATCATAGAGTTTCTTTTTGTAAAAGTTCTCAGAGAAAAGAAAATAGATTGGAATTAATTTATTCTGACGTATGTGATCCCATTGAGGTTGAGTCATTAGGTGGTAGCATATATTTTGTTACTTTTATTGATGATGCTTCACGTAAGACTTGGGTGTATATGTTGAAATACAAAAGTCAGGTACTGCAGTATTTTCAAAAATTTCATGCCATGGTTGAAATGATGACAGGGTTACCCTTGAAGTGTATTCGAACTGATAATGGTGGGGAATACACATCTAAAGGCTTTGAAGAGTATTGCTCAAAGCATGGGATCAGGCATGAGAGGACAGAACCTGGAACACCGCAGCATAATGGTATAGCTGAAAGAATGAATCGCACCATTGTGAAAAAAGTCAGATGTATGTTGAGGATGGTAAAATTACCAAAGCCATTCTGGGGTGAAGCAGTCAACACAGCTTGTTATTTACTTAACAGGTCACCATCAGTTCCTTTGGGCTTTAACATTCCAGAAAGAGTGTGGACAGGAAAAGATACTTCATACTCTCACTTGAAAGTTTTTGGGTGTAAAGCATTCATACATGTGTCAAAAGAGCAGAGGTCAAAGCTTGACAGTAAAGCTACACAGTGTGTGTTTGTAGGATATGGTGATGAAGAATTTAGTTACAGGGTATGGGATCCAGTAAAGAGAAAGACAGTCAGAAGCAGAGATGTGATCTTTCATGAAAAAAAAACCATAGCAGACCTTGAAAAAAATGAGAAGACTACACGAGTTACTGTTGAGTGTGATGTTTCAACACCGATAGAGATTTCACAGGAAAGAGTCATAGATGGTGAAAATGAGCCAGAAACAGAATTTGGGGATATGAATGAGCCAGCCACAGTTGGTGATGAGCCAGATGCTATTAGTTTTGAGCAGGGGGAGCAATCCTCTCTACCTGAGAGTGTTGAGCAGGGGGAGCTACCTTCAGCATCAAGTGATGTAGAGTCTCAGCCCAGGAGATCTACTAAAGAGCACAGGCCATCTACCAGGTATCCAAGTTCAGATTTTATTTTAGTTACCAGTGAAAGGGAGCCAAAAAGCTTTCAAGATGTGCAGGCTACTCTGGATAGAAAGCACTGGTTAAAAGCAATGAAAAAAGAGATGAAGTCATTGTGAAAGAATGGTACTTATGATCTTGTTAAACTTTCAACAGGGAAGAGGCCATTAAAGAATAAATGGGTGTTTAAGTTGAAAAATGATAATGACAAACTAGTAAGGTACAAAGCTCGATTGGTAGTAAAAGATTTTTCTCAAAAACCAGGCATCGATTTTGATGAGATTTTTGCTCCAGTTGTAAAAATGAGTTCTATTCTAGTGGTACTAGGATTGGCAGCTAGTTTGAATCTTGAGCTTGAGTAACTTGATGTTAAAACTGTATTTTTGCATGGTGATTTGCAGGAGGACATTTATATGAATCAGCTTGAAGGTTTTGAAGTGAAATGGAAAGAGCACTTAGTTTGCAAATTGAAAAAAAGCTTGTATGGCTTGAAACAAACTCCGCGACAGTGGTACAAGAAGTTTGATTCTTTTATGATGAGTCATAGCTATAAAAGAACAACAGCAGATTCTTGTGTGTATGTTAAACAATTTTTTAATGGTAACTTCATTATCCTATTATTATATGTTGATGATATGTTGATTGTAGGACAAGATGCTAGTATGATTTGCAGGTTGAAAGAACAATTGTCTAAGTCCTTTGATATGAAAGATTTAGGTCCAGCAAAACAGATTCTTGGTATGGACATTATCCGAGATAGGAGAGCTGAAAAGCTGTGGTTGTCACAGGAAAAGTATGTTGAACGAGTGCTTGGTAGATTCAACATGCAACATGCTAAATCAGTTAGTAGTTCACTTGCCAACCATTTTCATCTAAGTAAGAAATCTTGTCCAGTGTCTAAGGAAGAGCAACTAGTTATGTCTAGTATTCCTTATTCTTCTGCAGTCGATTCTTTAATGTATCTCATGGTTTGTACAAGGCCTGACATTGCTCATGCAGTTGGTGTAGTGAGCAGATTTCTTTCTAATCCAGGGAAGGTTCACTGGGAAGCAGTAAAATGGATTTTTAGATATTTGAGGGGTACCTCAAAAATGTGCTTGACTTATGGAGTTTCACAACCAGTTTTAGAAGGGTTTACTGATGCTGACATGACAGGCGATCTTGATGGTAGAAAATCTACTTCAGGGTATTTGTTCACTTTTGCAGGAGGAGCTGTATCTTGGCAGTCTAAGTTGCAAAAGTGTGTTGCTTTGTCAACTACAGAGGCTGAGTATATTGTAGCAACTGAAGCATGTAAATAAATGCTTTGGATGAAACGTTTTCTTCTTGAATTGAGGTTGAATCAGAAAGAGTATGTGATATTTTGTGATAGCCAGAGTGCTTTAGATTTGAGTAAGAATACCATGTACCATGCTAGAACAAAGCACATTGATGTTAGATATCATTGGTTACGTTTAGTGATTGAAGAACAGCAGATGCTATTGAAGAAAGTCCATACTGATAAAAATGTGACAGATATGTTAACTAAGATACTTCCCAGGGAAAAGCTTGAGCTTTGCAGTAACTTGGCCGGAATGAGTTCCCTGGCCAAGGTAAGTTCCAAATGAAATTGCTATGGTGATGAATCTCCTTCTAATGGGACTGGAGGGGGAGATTGTTAGGAAAATTGGGTCCAGTCCCATGTAAGTGGTTTTGGACCAAGTAAAGGCCATGGGCCTTGATCTTTTATTTTACACAGAGCCCTAGCTACTTAATAAAAAAAAGTTGGGGTTGTTTTAGGTGTGTGTCGAAAACCAAACAGAAAAAGAAGAAAAGCCAGGAAAAGCAGAGAGAGAAAAAGGAGAAGGGAGAGTTGGTTAAACGGAAGTCGATCCGTGGTCCGATTGAGTTGGAACCTTATCAGGAGGTTTATGATTCAGAGTTATACATTCTGAACGGTGAAGATCGGGTTTAAAGCTCTCTAGGAACAAATTCAGGGTGTATTTGTTGAGTCACTTATTTGGTGAGATTTCTTCAATTGTTTCTCTAGTTGTTGATTAGCTCTAGTTTTAGCTAGAGAATAACTTTGTATAACTATTATTTGATAGTGAAGATTTTTTTGGTGGCTCGTGGTTTTTCCCTCTACACTGGAGGGTTTTCCACGTAAATCTTGGTGTGCTTTATTTTTCCTACGCATTTTATTATTGATTGTTGTCTATTGCTTCTGTATTGTTGTGATTATTGCTTAAGGCGCAATAATACATTACTGCTAGTGTTTCGCTTGTCTAAGAATGAATGAAAACCTTGGTTGCCATGGGTTTTGCCCTAACATTTTTTCTCAAATGATTACAGGCCCTCCGCACATGCTGTTTCTTTTCTTGCCACTGTGCCAGCTACCTATCTTTGTTCCTAGTGATTCTCAACAAAAGCAATTTTCATCTAGGTTGCCATGGCCCTTTGAGTACCAAAATAACGGACAGTAATTTGGTTTTTGAAATAGCTCCTGTTAGAAGTTCATATTTTCATTTAATTTGGATTACTTTCCTGTGCTGCTTGTGGATATCTGCTGCAGGTTTTAGGTTCCAAACGTGTATGCAATTTAGTTGTCAATTCAGAGCAGTTTTTTTCCTTCTTTCTTTCTTTGAAGCAAACTGAAACGATTAGCTTTACAATTTCCAACAATTACTTGGGCAAGGGGAATGACCTCGTTATCCAGAGGGTTTTACCCCTTGTCTTTACCATCTTATTGCAGGAATGACAGTTTCATTTAACCACTGTTTGCCTTTTGATAATAACAATCAGAAGCTGTAACTCTGACTCAAGCGGAGCAGTATTTCTATATATATTGTTTTGTATCTCGTTTGTTTCAGAAACTAGCATTGAAGATACGAGATATTATTGACCAAAAAATGAAAAGATTGGAGATATATTATATAGTACTCTAAAGAAGGGGGAAAAAGTGGAGAATTCTAAGAAACAAAACATAAAATTAATTTTCTAGATAATGCATATGCATATTCTGCTTCTCATGGTCCTGTATATATTGTTTTCCTCCTCTTGGTCTGCTTTTCTCGCCTGGAATTTGGAGATTTTGCAACTTCAACTTGTACTGAGATAATTAATAGAGTGATCGGCAGTTGATAAAGTAGTACTCATTTCGACTATGGTAGGAATGAAGGGAATGTAAACGTCCTCATTCTCATCATCATCATCATCATCATCATCATAACTTGCCTCAATCTTCTTCCACTTATTTGATTTTACGTTATACATAGAGATCACACTTCCCCTGTCCCTTCCCCTAAATACAACCCATTCACCGTCAAAGAATATGACGTATAAATCTTTCCTCGATGATAAAGATGGTATGTGGATTCTAACGCAACCCCACTTGCAGTTATCATAATCGTGGAGGACCCAAACAACAAATTCTGACCTTGAAAGATAAACCACAGAGACCAACCCTTTGGCAAGCCCGAACCATGGCTTCCTATTTTGGTACTCAATCATTTTGAGTCTCAGTGTATGAGGCATGGGAATAATTCGTGCGTCTTCTGTCTTTACATTGAAGGCAACAATGTCGCCACACTCCCTAATCCAGTGAAGAATTCCATCCAAGTACACAGCTTCAGTTTGGTAGGTTTGACCTGATAGACACCTCAGTCTTGACTTGGACATTTTCCATGAATTGAGACTGGATGAGAATATCTCAAACCCATACACTTGATTCCCTCGTATTAAGTCTAGATCAATAACAAAAATATGAACTACCTTGTAGTCATGCCAGGAGAAAAGAATGGGATCATAAGCCAGACCAAGATTGTGTTTATTGTGGCTTAGAGGATAATTATTATATCCTTTTGGCCTCAGTATAAGCTGAAACTTTTTGGTAGTGGGATTAAAAACAGTGAAGAACTGGGGTGTTTGAGAGGGAACGTGAAGAAAAAGGCCATTGCAAGAAGCTTCAATGGAAGGGAAAGCCGAGAAATAGTTGGGTTTTTGTTGAGAATAGAGAGGGATGTAGATGACATTTCCAGGATTAGAATGCGGGAAGTAAAACAAACCATGTGGCTTTGAAGGATCTCTGATAGCATGATCGGCTACGAAGCCTGGATTGGAGATTATCTGATTACACTCTTTGTTTACGCATTTGAATCGAACTAGAGATTCAATAGGCAAGCATAAAAAAATGTTTGGAATGAGATCACGAATTCCAACTTCGTTATGCATAGTGAAAGTAGTAGGATATTGAATGAGGTTGATTGTTGATTTTAATTCTAATGCTTTTATCATATGCAAAACTATACATATTGAATGAGACTTCCTTTTGCGCTATAACTCTCTTCATATTAAAACTCTTAATAAATAAATTCAATGGATCATAATTGATTAGAACCTATCTCAACAAAATCTATACAATTCTATTAAATTTATTTTGTAATACCTGATTAATTAGCTAGTTAATAAAGACAAAGCTTCTTAATTTGTTGATAAACAACTCCTCTTGATTGGCTATCTATTTGTTTAATTAATTAAAAATATATCTTGAATTTGGACTTAAAAAAATTTTTTTTTGACTAAGAACCCTCTACACTTTGCCTTTAACGAAGACCAACTTTTGTCTTATTAACCAAACTTTTGAAATTTATCCAAAAAAAAAAAAAGATGTATTATTTATCGATATATAGATAAGTGTTTCAAACTGATAGATGAACGGGCAGGGTAACGTTTATAAAAATTAGTTTAGGGCTTATAACATACATCCACCCCAAGCATTTCATTTTAGCCCACAACAAATCTTATGCATTGGTCTGGCTCTCCTCTTTGGGGCTTAGTATAATATACTAAGGCAATCGGGTTTAGCCTTGGCTTTCCACACTATAATCTGGAAACACAGAAATGGAGACTTCGTTGAGATACAGTGGAGATTCCAAAGCTCTAAGAATCCACGCCAAGGAGAAGTTCTCCATCGATTCCAAAACCCATTTGCAGGTATTTTTCTCAAAGCCTTCTGCTTTTCAACTTTGTTTGCTCTTTCAATTTTTCTCCTCCTTTCTATTCCTGAGATGTAGGATTTCATTTCTGGACTTAGATTATTAAAGTTGAAAACTTCACCGTTTCTTTCCAGCTTTTTTTTTTTTTTGGTATCATTTCGTTGTGTTATGTTCTTTTCTATGTGCTTGCTTAACTTGGCCAGACTGTTAATGCCTTTAATTGCGTATCAAAGTGCTAGAATTCCTGCATTTTCCATAGAAAATCCATGACACAGCGTGCAAAATTTGAACAATTTGGACAGCTCAAATTTGAGATTTGAGCTTGAATGTAAGACATTCCAAATACCCAAAAAGGTTTTTAATTTTTTTTAATTTTTAAGTGACCCCATGCTTTTGTCGTTAATGCCTTTAATTGGGTATCAAAGTGCTAGAATTCCTGCATTTTCTGTAGAAAATCCATCACACAGCGTGCAAAATTTGAACAATTTGGGCAGCTCAAATTTGAAATTTGAGCTTGAATGCAAGACGTTCCAAATACCCAAAAAGGTTTTCTTTTTTTTTTAATTTTTAATTGACCCCATGCTTTTGTTGTTATTACAGGAGAATTGTACATATATGCATCTTGAATCCATTTTCTTTTAGCAATCTTTATGTCGTAATTGGTTTCTTACTTCTGTATCTATACATTAGGTTTATGGCGAGCTAGACACCAGAACTGGAGCCCCGAGTAACTTTTGTGCAATGATAAGGCACTTCTATCCTGATGTATGTTGTCCCCTATAGCTATGCTCTTGTTTTAAGAACATTCTCATGAAAGCTTCAGCTTTTCTTTTCCAATTTTATTGTTAACATGGCTGATAATTTTCTCTAGTTACATACAAGCCTTGGTGTAGGATTGCGCTATGATAAGTGTGATAAGGTGCAGTACACGTTGCGAGGAAAAAGGTCTTTTCTTGTAACCAACAATGGTTTGGTAAATTTCGTTGTCAAGGGAAGATACGATGTTGACCAAGAATTCGAGGGGGTCGGTGCTGACTTTAAGCTTTCAAGCGTTTCTTTTTAAATGCACTTGATATTTGAAGAATCATTCTGCTAATATTTGGTTTATATGATTCATCTTTCCTCAAAAAGTCAAATTTGAATGATGCTCATTAGTACATTTTACACACTTCTTCCTTTTTTTTTTTCTTTTGGTTGGAATGATGCCATCTATCCAGCTCCCTATAATCTAGTGATTCTTGGGGGAGAAAAATTCGGTTAGTTATATATAGTTCTCGCTTTCCTTTGCTAATAGTTTATGCCACTACCATGACAGAGGAAGTCAGAAGGAGCTGCTGAATTTACCTTTAGCATAATCAATTTCCAGAGAGACCAAGATGTTAGATTCAAACTTGGCTATGAAGTATCTGAGAAGGTAATTCCTTTTTATAAAAACGGTACTTAAACATGTACTTAAACGGTCTTTGGAAAAAAAAAATGCATTAAATCTTGGTTCAATCTATTATTGCTGTTCTGTCTTTTGATCAATTTGAACATTATTTAAAATTGAGCAAGTTTCAGCTTGTTTTAGAGAGAGCCTTTAGAATGCATTAGTCTTAGTTCTGGGATTTTGCTTGCATATTTATTTCCAAGTAATGTTTGTAGTGTGGAACATCTGATTTTCAATTTCTATGTGCTACTGAACTTTGATTTTTGGAACATCTTAGTATCACACCCAAATGCAACCTTTTAGAGCATTTGGAATCCTAGTACACCGTGTAACCCATTTATCTTTGAATTCTCTAAGATTAATATTAGTGAATTCTTTTAACGTGAAGATATTTATTGACAATTTGTGTGCTACCAAAATTACTAATTTTGATGTGGAATCCATTCAAATCCAATTTGAGTAACAAGAGTCAATTTTTGCTTCTGTACTCGAATATTTTCCTACTCCTAGTAACCTATGCCTTGTATTAACTTCTGAAATTCCTTCGTTTATCCTCTCCTCTATTCTTTCTTTGGTGAAAATTCCTCTTTCAGGTTCCATATCTGCAGATTAGGGAAAATAATTGGACCCTCGATGTTGACATGAAGGGCAGATGGAACATAAGATTCGATTTGTAAGAAGATATAAGATTGACCTCATTTGGTGGTGAGATATGTGGGTGCCAAAAGCATTTATAATGTTCATTTCATTTCTGATGGATTGGACAGACAGCTGTGTTGTGCTGATTGGTAAAAACCCAATGTCATTGGTCATTAAAATGTATAATGTGGGTTTCTTTTTCTTCTTCCAATCAAATCTTTCAGGCTTGCCAAAACGATTGAATGGTTGTAGACTTTAACAGCTGCAGGGACGCGTCCAAAATGACTGAGTAGATTTTAAGCTGGATCCATTTCTGTTGTGACTAAATTCGAAAGTGGGAAAGGGGCACATTTTGGGGATAAAAAAAGAAAAGTATCAACATTTATAAATGATACAAAACTTGTTTGTTTTGATAGACATGGGAATTTTTAACACAAAGGCAAGCTACATTCATACTGCTAGCTAGTATATACGAGCTTGATGGACATAAATTCAGCGAAATACCAAAAATCTTTCTTGAATGATTTACATAAATCCGAATTTTCAATTTCAATTTTTAAAGTGTATTATTGGCGGTATAAAATATTTTTCAAAGCAAAACAAAAAATAAATAAATAAACTAACGGGAAAAGAAGGTGTTTCAAACGAATTTCACAATTACAACTACAATTTACAGGGATGATTGATGAAACAGAAGCAGGGGTAAAGATGAATGTGGACCAAAATCTGGGGTCATTGACGGAAGGTGAACAAAAACAGGTGGGCCACGAATTTAGTATTTAGTATTTAGTAGTAGTAGGGGTAACTAACGGATAAATTAAATTAAACCCAGAAGATTTACTATAAATAAAACCCCAATCCAATCTCATTACCTTGACGGAAACGTTACAAGTAACTTCTCTTTCTCCATCCCTCTCTTCACATGAGTCGTCCTTTCAGGCTCCTAGCGGCCGCCAACTCCCCGGCCACTAGCCAGCCGCCGCCTGAACAAGCTGCAACCGTCGACTCCGACTTGGTCGTTATCTTTGCAGCTCTCATCTGCGCCCTTATTTGCGTGCTCGGCCTCATCGCTGTCGCACGCTGCGCCTGGCTTCGCCGTCTCTCCGGTGGCTCTGCTTCTTCATCCCGTACTACGCCTCCTGCCAACAAAGGCCTTAAGAAGAAGATCCTCAAGTTCCTTCCCAAGGCCACCTTCTCTGATGAATTCTCTGCGAAATTCTCCGATTGCGCGATTTGCCTGACAGAGTTCGTGGTAGGGGATGAAATCCGGGTACTGCCGCAGTGCGGCCATGGCTTCCACGTCCCCTGCATCGACACGTGGCTGGGGTCCCATTCTTCCTGCCCCTCCTGCCGCCAGATTTTTGTGGTTGACAGGTGCCTCAAGTGTGGGGTTTTACCCTGTCCGAGGGCTTCAACCTCTGGAACTGAGACTGAGGCCAGATTGAAGGAGCGTGAAGTTGATGTCAATAGGTTCTTGCCCTAGCCAGCCTCTGTCTCAGGGTTCCTCAAAATTTTTTTTGTCTTTTCAAAGTTAATAGATTTGATTAGCTAATTACCTCCTCCAATTATTAATAGGATCTAGGTTTGGATTTATTGGAATTTCTGTGTAGTAGTATTTCATTTGGTGAATTGTAAATAATGTAAAGTTGAAGTGTAACTATATGTATCATGTATGTTAAATATATATATATATATATATATATATATATATATAGGCAGAAATCAGAATGTCAGATTCCAGTAAGAACAACGTCTTGATTACCCAAACAAACAAATAAACAAAAAAAATGGTTCATGAATGAAAATTGAGCAACTTCTTTGTGTTTCCTTCCATTTGTCAAGTCAAGACTTTTCTGGAACTACAAATTCAGGTGCATGCACCTGAATCATAACCCCGACCAACAGCTTGCATGGTAATTTTCTTAATTTGTCTTTTTTTCCTATCCGGACTTTGCTCTGCTTCTTCGCTTTTCCTTTCTTTTGTTTGGAGCAAGTCTGGTTATTCGCTTTTAGCCGAAGAAAATGATTCATTTGGGTTCATGAATTTCTTATGCTGTGGTCTTTTCAGGATAAAGCGTATTTTGTTCCATGTTGTTTCTTCTTTACTACTTCAATTATGTGCATCTCCAATTCTCAATGGGAGAGGGGCAGCTTTATGTTTTTCGTTTGAAATTTTACCTGAATTAACTATAACTACGTAGTGGAAATGAAGAAAATAAATAAATAAATAAAAAAATAAAACACAAAATGGGCCATGGAATCGGTGAAAAGAAATGGGACCTGGAGGGGAGGTCCATATAAAGTGATGAAGAGATGAGAATCTAAACTAAAGGGGGCACCTGTCAAAACATGTGTAGTTTCACTTCCAGCACTCGAGCCTGTGACAGTGAATCCGTTGCTTGCTTTTGAGTAGGACGATCTAATGTAAAGGGAAAAGATTTGCCTACCTTGTTTTAAACGTTGATTTTTGAAGCTGAGAACAGTCAATCTCTTTCGTTTTTCTCAAGCACTTTTTTATACTCCCTCAACTGATTAGCAATATATAAAGTGGGTTGCTCAACATGTGGTTTTGCCTTTTTGGGTTTGGTGGGTGTGGGTCCGTCTGGGTATCAAGATTCTTGTTCCACGGCCACAAGTATGCAAATATGCAATGCAACTTTCTCCGGTTAAAAGCAACTGAGTCAATCCTCTTGTTGGATAAATATTTTTTTTAAAGAAATTTATCTACGATTCAGCACTGTTGTCGTCAGTTAGGGGTGGGTCATAACAAGCTATCGTGCATGTTTAAGCTGAGCTATAAACTCAGTCAGAAATTAAAAAGTTGATGTAATGTGTGGCCGGGTATGACTATTGCTATATGGCCTGGGAAGCCGACTTCCCAAGTCCATTTGAGTGCAAGATATAAACAAAAAGGAAAGCATTACATAATGAATTCCATGATTTAGGAAAGGAAGCCATGCTTTTGTTACATTAGTATTAGTATTATTATATATATTTCAAGTAAATAATATACTCATTTTCGGCAACTTGCTGCGATTACATTTGGGAATGACAATATTGCCGAAGGTGGGGTTGGTCCTAAAAATGGAAATTGGGTTAGGTTTTTGTTCTGCACAATGTGTTGGTGATTCACATCTGCAGGCTCATTGATATATGTAATTTTTTATCTACTCAAATTGTTTTAATGGACCCTCATCTTTGCAAATGTAGGGTTACTGATCATTCTTGTAAATGTTGGATTTTGCCAAGTCTATGTTGTGGTTATAGCTTAGGGCCTATAGCTATATTGTGGGTTTCCCACCTCCCCTCCCACCCTCTACCTCCTACCATGTCACACCGATCCACACACACACGCAAAGGAAACAGATGAAATAGGCAGGATGCTCTTCTTGTGCGCATCCTTCCCTGACAAACTTCGTTGTCGTTAGTATCAATCCAATTTATTGAACCTAGGCTATCTGCTATCATACAGGACAGGAGAACTAAAATTAAAGCATATCGAATTTGATTGCTGATTAAGATTTCATGTCTTTAAGTAATAACCTTCCTTCCTTCAGATACACTGGAAGCGGGAATGCCAGTGATGGTCGTTGATCTCCCCTCTCTTTTCTCCTCTGTCCAAGCGCCCTTTGCCTTGCTTCTCCGAACAGGCTCCAAGTGCCAAAAGTTGAAATAGGATAATGAATCAACCTTTCATTTTTTTTTTAAAAGTATTTCAGCAAATTAATAGTTGTCTCTTTTTCCCATTTTCCCTTTCGGCTTTGGCTTTGGCTTGCATCAACCTGAAGAAAAAGTGGATTTTTGGTTCTAACATCTTTAAAAGGAATTTTCGCTAAACTACAAGGCATTGCAATATCGAGCTACAATACACCTCTTTACTCGCTCGAGAGTAGCTCAGTGGATGGATTCCTATTGATCACGAAAAGATACTCATGAAACATGCATCTCTACCATGATCTTAATTAAATTAGACTCAATTTGAAGCAAAAAAAATAATATCATTTTAATGTTTGAATCAGAAGATCCCTCATTTTCAATATAATAAGAATAAACAAAAATCTTCAATCATAAGTTGGACGACTGCTCAGCAGCTGAATTTGCAGAGGAATTGACGCCGCTTAAAGCAGTGAGCTACTCATTCTTCGTAGCAGCAGCAGCCTGTCTTGCACCAACAGCAAAGAACTCGGTAATGACTTCAAGTGGGATTCCTTTGCTTTCCGGAACTTTCAAGAAGACAAAGACCCAAGAGACGAGACAAACTACAGCATATATTCCAAAGATGCCAGCAAGGCCTATAGAACTGAGCATCACAGGCAGAGTATAGGTAACAATGATATCTCCAATCCAGTAAACCAAAGCACAGATGGCAATACAAAGGCCACGGACACTTGTTGGAAAGATCTCAGAGCAGAGGATATTTGGAATTGGTCCATAGCCCATAACAAAGCAGCAGAAGTAGATAACAACGCATGCAGTTGAGATAGCAGCGTTTACTACAGTGCCCAAATCCACGATTTCGCTAAAAACTAGAATGGCTAGTGACACTACAAGCACAGGAATTGTGGTGAGCAGCAGCCTCCTGCAAACAATACAAGTATGAGTTTTTTTTACCATTTTTTAGGAAAAAAAGCATGTGTGAATGGAGAAAATTAAGATAACGTGATTCCATCATTTAAAGTCAAAGAGATTCAAACTAACGTTTTTCAGGATTGAAATTTGGATTTTTATTTTAACAGAATAACATGAATGCTAAAGTCATCAAGTCTATCTATTTACCATATTCCTGAGAGTGCACCCTAAGAATTCCCAGGAAGAAAATATAGGAGACCCAGAATGAAGAATTACAAGTTGAAAATAATATTTGAGAAAAGCAAACCACCTTCTGCCTGATATATCCATGAGTTTCATGGCTACACCTATACAGGGAAGCATCAGCAAGGTTGTGAATGCACTAATAAGAAATGATGCGGAATCTGAACTCAGGCCCAATTTTGAAAGAAGCACTTCAACGCCTGCCTCTTCAAGAATTTGAGGAATGTAGTAGAGAACTCCATTTATACCTGAGAACTGCAAATGAAATTAGAAAAGTTAGCTTAATTTACCATGGAAATCATAGTATAATTAGCTCAACTGATAAGCAAAAAGATTTCAAGCTTCTCTATGTAAAGTACAAATTGACAAACATTAATGTGTAACAAGTGGCCACTTTCATTTTTAAGTACCACGAGCAAAAAGAACTATAAGCATGTAATGACTCCACAGTAAAACAAGATACCTCAGAACCAATTACTACTAGCAAAACTATTGGTTCTAATCTTAAGGATTAATGCTAATTCAACTGCAGCTTAAACTGTTATGGCCCATATTTTCCTTTCAAAGCACATTCAAATCTGTAAACTAATGTAGAGAAGATGACAAGATGATAAAAAGGCCGAGGGGCCAACAGAAGTTCAAAAATAAAATTTCTGACTACCTGCTGAAGTATCTGAATCCCAATCCCGACCAATAATGCGCGCTTCACTCCTGGGTCAAGAAGAGCAGCCCAAACTGGTCCTTTCGAAGCAGTTTCAGACGGATGAACCATTGCTGGTCCAACAGGATGCTGATCCATAAGCTCCTTAGAATAAAGAGCAGGCTGGCTCACTAGAGCAGCAGCCTGGATAAACTCACCTTCTGCAGGCATATCATTACCAGGAAGTGATACAAGAGACCCCCGTCGAGATCCAGGGACTTCCTCCTGGTGCAAATAAATCCTTTTAAACCCTCCTTCCTTCTTTCCCTCCTCACCTTCTCGCTCAGACTATTTCCATGCCAACTGCCAACCACCTCCAATTCCTGTACTACCAACTGATTCTCCACTATCTTGCACAAGAGTGCTATGGCGTCTCATGCTTAGAATACTGCCATGGAAAGCTGGGGGAGCCATGTCTTGTTCCAAGCTTGTTGTCTGACGTGAGATCAAAGGGCGATGCAAATTATTATCGGAGCCCCCCCCCCCCTGCAGCATCTGGTGCATAGTCTTCACCTTCCCTCTGCAAGCTCTCCTCATCCCAATGTTCATTTTTGACATGAGGGTCTGCCGTACTAATCATGCTTCCAAAATTTGGAAAAAGCATACTACGCATGCTCCCTGTCTCAGGAAACTTTTCATGCACACTGCCAAATAATGTCACAAGAGGGTCCATAAGGGGTACACTTTGGTTCACCGTGCTTCCCTGGCGAGAGGCAAGGCCAAGAATGCTTTGTCCAGTGACAGGTTTGGCAACCCAAGACAGGGCCTCTTCAGGTCCATATAATCTGATTTTGTCTATATCAGCAGTAGGATCCTGACGATCAGCAAGTTCATTAGCCGGACCTATTATGTACTCTTCTAAAGAAGTTTCACCCCCAATGCCAAGGCCCTCAACCAGCAATGCCATCTCACCTGCAGATCAAAGAAATCTCAGCAAGATCAACAACCTCAATTAGTCTTAAACTAGTTAAATAAGAGGAAACTCGGTGGACAAGGGAATTTCTATCATTTTAAATAAAACAACCACAAAAGCTATGGAGGCTTCTTTGTTAATAGGCCTAAAGATTCTAAAGTGGGGAGAACAAGTGCATGGAAGGACTCAAAATAGAGGAACACAGAAGATTTTTTTCTCTTCTTTGTCCCCAAAATCTACTCCGCACATGATGCCTACCTTCCCAATACTCTTATCAAAAGGATGCCAATAAAATTAGGAGAAAAGCATGCAATGCCTAGTTTTGTTACTTATTGGATCAAACTTACTGGTAGACACTTCTATGCTGGTTTTGAGTTATTTCTGCGTAAACAACTAGACATGCTCATGCTCCTTGATTTACAATGATAG